AAAAACTTTCCCAAAAAAAAAAAAAAAGACCAGGATCGGGGACTTGAAACATATGCTGGGCATGTGTGCATGTGTGCTCAAAATCCCGAGAGAATGGAGAAGGGATTGCAGCATGGCCATTACTTCCCCTGGGAGTGATTTCTCACTTTCTGTCTGTCTGTGTCTCTGTCTCTCTCTTTCTCTCTCTCTCTTTCTGTTTCTCTGGTAAGCACACATACCCTATTGCAAAAATCTCTCTCTAAAAGAAAAAAAATATTGGATGGGAAAAAAGGGTGATTTATTCCATTAAATTTAATGGCATTAATTTTAACATCTTGGTCAAAACTGAGTCCAAATTTAAGTTCAAGATTTTAGTAACCAGGAAACATATTTTCTACAGTTATAATTAATAAAAAAACAAATCAGCACATTAACTTTAAAAGAACAGCCAGGGCCAGCCTGTGGCATGGTGGTTAAGAGAGCCAGATTTTACATGTCTCACTATGTGGTTCAAGTCCTGGGTAGCTCAAAAAACACACTGGGCACATATGCATATAATACCCAAAATCCTGAAAGGAGAGAGAAATGGAGACAGAAAAGGAGAGAGATATGGGGCATAACTATTCCCAATGGGGGAGGGTTCTCTTTCTCCTCTTCTGTCTCTCTGGCAAACAAATGAACCCTCTGGCAACTCCAAAGAAAAAAAGAAAGAAAAGCTAGAATTCAACAGGCTTTCATTTTGGTTTTTTTGTTTTGTTTTTTGATTTTTGCAGTATGTAAGAGGGCACATACACTCAACAGAGGGAAAGTACCTCCCAATGGGGCATGGACACACCACAATCCATTTTTCCTCTATTTCTCTATCCTTTTGGGATTTTGAGCATGTACATGCACACACTCGCTGTGTTTTCAAGCCGCTAGGCCCAGGACTCTAATCACAGTTAGCAATGTAGGATCAGGCTCCCTTTACCACCAGGCCACTGTTCCAGGCCAGGTTTACATTTCAAATAAAATTAAAATGAAAGGTGTAAATGAGGAAACAATGAGAAACATAAGATATCTAAAGTAGTCAGGGGCCAGCAGCTGGTTGTGTGAACGTGTGTGGGAAGGAGCAGAATCAGTAAATTCTATGTACCACAAGACTAGATCAATAAAACTCTTGCTAACAACTTAACAGAATCCCTAAGAAATGACTTTAATCTTCTATGAACTATTGGGTCACTGGGAAAGAAAACATAGAAAAATGCACCATGACTTTCCCTATGAACTAATAGTATGTTTGTTAACAAGCATTTGATTCTTATTCAATAACATGTCTGTATGCCAGGCCATAGATGTTGATATTTACAACACAGAAAGGCAAAATTCATCTATTAAGTAAATTTTTGTTATAATGAAAAAAAATTTTAAATGTCCAATAAAAAAGCAAGGTAATTCCATGAAAAGAACTTTCACTATCAAGTGAGAAGGAGAACTGAAGCATGAAAAAAGTTGAAGAATATAGAGTACAAGCTTAGTCCCATAGCTTAGTTCTTAAGCTATGTTATAAACATTTATTTAAGAAAAAGTACTCGGGGGTCAGCAGGTGGAGTGGTGGTTAAGGGCGCTGGACTCCCACATGGCCGACCACGGTTTGGGTCGCAGACCTGGTGGTTTGCTTTCTTGCTTTCTCTGTCTCTCACTCTATCTCTCTCTGATAAAATTAAAATAAATAAATAAATAAATGGATAAATAAAGTTAAGTAAAATAATTCTTAAAAAGAAAAAAAAGTACTCACACACCTCTACTGTGCACAATCAAAATGAGTTACCTTATTGGGTGTTGATTCAAAAGAATGTTGCATCTGATTATCCAATGGTGGATCAGAAGAAAGTTTTATCTGATTATCCAAATGACAGTTTTCAGGAGCCCTTTTTGTGGTTTTATTAATTTCAACTGTAATATCATTAATTTTAACTTCTCCAGAATTAGTTTCCTTCATTTTTTCCTGGTTGCAAGTTACAGGTTTATCATGGGGTTTTGTTCCCCCAAATATACTTTGAGTCACTGGACTATGCATTTCTAAAGCTGGTGATGAAAAACTGGTTCGTAATAAGCCCAATTTAGGGGAAAGTTGGGAGTCCAACTTACTCTGCACAGAGTTAAATTTTGAGAGTTTAATTTTAGTCCAATTGGAGTTCTTCTTAGTTGAGCTGTTTATTCCATTTAGTATACATTTCACGGGTTTTGTTTTTCTACTGGGGAAGAAACGATTACATTGCACATCCTGATTTGTTTCTTTCTGATGAAGTATTTGTCTTTCAACACTAGTGTCTTCCAATTTTATTTCGGTAAGCTTCTCCTCTTTTACACTTTCCATTTGTGAAGATTCCTTTTTTACCTCTACTGTATCTGACTCAATTTCACCAGCAATTTCTTCACATAGCTGGAGAATGCTACCCCGTTTGCTCTTTCCAGCTTGCTCTAGCTCATCTACGCTTGGTTCAGGCACTGATGGCTGCGGATTCTTTTGGGATGTTGCACTAACATTCACTTGTGTATGAACTGACGACTTCATTTCCTTCTTTAGAGAGACCACGGACGTAGCCGTTTTTGATCTTTTTATCTCAGAAGTTACAGGCACAGGTTTTGTTTCCTCTTTTTTAGTAGTCTTCTGAAGACACTTTTCGGATCCTTGTCTGCACTGAGAACTACAAGAATAAGCTGTCTGATGCTCGACTTTACGCTTTTTTTCCTTTGGAGAATTTATTACTTCATTAATTACTGGATTTTCATCCTCTTTAAAGTCAGATTTTATTTCCAGTACTTTTCTTTTTACATGCTTTTGACTCGTTTTAACTTTATTAGATTTACTTTGAGTATTGCTACAGTGCTCTTTTCTTGTTGGTGGCAAACTCTGTTTAACTGCTTGAACTTGTTGACCCTGAATTTCTCTACTACGCAAAGATCTTGTTGAAACCTCTGTTAACTGTTGTAGTCTTTGCGATCTCCGGTTAAGCTGTTCGTTTACTTTTGGGGTTTCATGTGCCAATTTTTTCTGAGATAACTTTTTTTTTGTGGATTCTTGCCCCTTTCCCTTCACAACCACCATATTTTTATTAATGGGTTTAGCAGTTTTTTTATCACTGGACACTGCCTTTGCTGACCTTGTACTCATGCGTGTTCCCAATTCAGGCTGATTTATTTTACTTTCACTGGAAGATTTAACCGGTGATTTTAGAGCTTCCTCTGAACCAGAATTTCGTGCTAAATTATTTTGAGACCCTTGCATTTCTGTTTCTACATTCTTATCTTTACTTTTTTTAGAAAGTTTGGAAGAATTTTCTTTTGATTTCTCCTGAATGGACATCATTCCTGAGTAATGTCTTTCTTTTCTAAGTAGCTTCTGAAAGGATTTTCGTGTCCTGGTAGGCACGATTGCTAAGTAGCTAGTATTACTGAGGAGCAGGTCTTAAAAATCAAGTTTAACTGATGCTATTATAACATTTTCAACAAAAATACTAGTTGGCTTCAAGTAAGGTTTCTGCCTGTCATCTCTAAGACACGAGAAAAGCTGGCATAAATGCTGAGAGATAATTTTACTTCGGACAAGGCAATAGAAATTTGAGGAAATTTTAATTCTAATTGGATATTTTTTAAAGTTTTTATGATAAGAAATTTAACTCCGGTTCAATCTGTTTCTAGCAATTTTTCAATTAATACTGGTTTCAGATCTAGCTCTATTACTGGAAGAATTATTTATCACTGACTTAGCTGTTTTGCCGAAATTTTTGAAAACTTTTTTCTTCTGAAGTCTACAGTTACTGGACTTTGATTCATGTGAAACATGTCTTATGGCTAACACGTTTCTTTCCTTGCTTGCTGAGTCTGTTGGCTTGCAGTTCTTATCTAATCTCCTTCGTTTAATAAAGTACTCTATTAATATAAATTTCCTTTTTTGCTGCCATTTCTGGAAAATTAAAAAATAAAATAAAAATTAATTTAAGTATAATCCATGAAACATGGCAATGCTAACATTACATAAAAATAAGCTTGACTTAAATAAAATCTAACTTCTCTTTCTGAAATATTCAGCTTGTACAAGTAAGGCTAACAAGCAAGTATTCCAAGTACATGCCTATGAATAATTAATAATTTGTCTTATGTAAGCATAAAGTAGGTGAAAATCTGTTAATTCCTTGGAGATTTACTTACAATTCTTTTCCTGCAAGACAGAACTGATGTATCAGCAACCATAACTCATGAAAATTTGACAAAATCATTCCTTATAATATGCTCTTAACAACGTTACACAGCACCTAAAAGAAAAAGTACTTTTTAAGTGTTTAAAAAGACAAAGGAAGGGGCCAGCAGTTGGCGTAATGGCTTTGTCGCTGAACTCCCACGTAGTCAACTGTGGTTCAAGTGTGAGATCTAGTGGCTTAAACTCACGCCAGGCAGGTGTGCATGTATGCCCAAGATTTCGAGAGGAGAATAGAGAAGAAAGGATTGTGGTGTGGCCATCTCCCCTGGGGGGTGATTTCTCACTTTCTATCTCTCTGTCTCTGTCTTTCTGGAGAACGCATGAGTCCTATAGCAAAGACTTCTCCAAAAAAAAAAAAAAAGACAAAGGAAAAGGCCAGCCAGGTAGTATGGTGGTTGGGTTGGCTGGATCCCACCCCATGGCTGATTGTGCGGTTAGAGTCCTAGATTCAGAGGCTTGAAGAACACACCAGGAGGACCAGAGGATGGTATAACGGTTATATAGCCAGACTCCCACATAATCAACTGCGGTTCGAGTCCTGGACCCAGAGGTTTAAAACTCACACTGGGCACATGAGTGTGGATGTCCAAGATCCTGAGAAAAGAACAGAGAAGGGATTATGACATGGCTATCCTCCCTGGAGGGTGATGTCCCACTTTCTGTCTCTCTGTCTGTCTCTCTGGTGAGTTTATACGCCCTATAGCAAAAATCTCTCTCAAAAGAAAAGAAAGGAAGGAAGGAAGAAAGAAAGAAAGGAAAAGAAAAACATGTCGGGGGCAGTAAGTGACATAGTAGTTGTGGCAATGGTCTCCCACATGGTTGACCATGGTTCAAATCCTGGACCCAGGAGTTTAAAACTCACACTGGGTGCATTCCCCAAATCCTGAGAGGAACATGGAAGAGAAAGGAATGCAGTGTGGCCATCCCCTCTGGAGGGCGATGTCTCACTTTCTCTCTATGTCTCCAACAAGTGCATGTACCCTACAGCAAAAATCTCAGGGGGGGGAAAGGAAAACACCATGTACATGTATGCCTGTGTGTCCAGAATCCAAGAGGAGACTGGAGAAGGGATTGTGGTGTACTCATTCCTCCTGGGGGATGCTTTCTCACTTTCTCTATCTCTCTCCAGCAAGTGTACATGTCTTATAGCAAATGAAAAAACAACAACAAAAAAGACAAGACAATGGAAAGATAATAACCATCCATTCACCTCTCATCAAAAATAACTCTGTAATTCTATCATATCCTACTATTTTATTATTTCTTCAACACATATTTTACACATAGCATTTACTATTAGCATTTCTTTTTTTAAAAAATTTACCAGAGGACACATGTGCTCATTGAAGAAAGATGCAGAGAGAGGCAAAAGGGAAGCAAGAAAGAATCTCTATGGATTATAGACACACTGATATGCCTTTTCTTCCATCTTTCCCTCTTTTCATGATTCTGAGCACACATGTCCAGCATGTTTTTCAAGACACTGGTCTAGTACTCAAATCACATACTGGGGCATATGGGATCCAGCTGCCTCAACCATCAGGTAGGCTGGCCCTAGTTTTAGCATTTCTAACTTGAATTTCAGTATGGTACATGAACCTAATGGAATAATATACATCTATTTTATGTTGTGGAAAAGTTTTAAAATATAAAAAACTATTTAAACATGTATGAATTATTTAAGAAATAATTCATAATAAATATAAAAAAATCAGTTTAAAACGGTAAAGCAAAACCGTAGAGGAAAAAAAATATTCACAGGAAAAGAATTGACACAGTTAAACAGGGCTTTTTTTTTTTGGAAAGGTGTTTGCTATAGGGTGCATGCACTCGCTGGAAAGACAGAGAGAGGCAGAGAGACAGAAAGCGAGAAATCACTCCCCAGGGGGGATGGCCACGCCACAATCCCTTCTCCTCTGTTCGCCTCTCAAGATCTTGGGCATGCACACATACGCGCCTGACATGAGTTTAAGCCACCGGATCTGGGACTTGAACCGTGGTCGGCTATGTGGGAGTCCGGCACCTTAACCATTATGCCGTCTGCTGGCTCCAAGGTATACTGTTTTTTAGGGCAAGAATCCTAATCATTCCACATATGTCCACATAGACTTGTTTCAAATGTTTGAAGCAGCTTTATGCCCAATAATTAAATCAACATGAAAGTCAAGTAAATACATAAATAAAATGTGGTGTTATCCACAGAACAGAAAACTACTCAGCAACCAAAAGGAAAAAGCTACTAATATATGGAACAATAATGATGAACCTTATAATCATCATGCTGAGAAACCTAGGTATAAAAGAGTAATATACTTGGACCAACAGTTGGTATAATAGCTATGTTGCTGGACTCCCGTGTAGTCGACCACAGTTAGAATCCCGGACCTGTGGCTTAAACTCACACTGGATGCATGTGCGTGCATGCCCAAGATCCCAAGAGGAGAATGGAGAAGGGACTGTGGCGTGGCCATCTCCCCTGGGGGGTGCTTGCTCACTTTCTGTCTCTGTCTTTCTGATGAGCTCATGCGCCCTATAGCAAAAACCTCTAAAAAAAAAAAAAAAAATTTTTTTTATTTTACCTTCTATAAAATTCTAAAAAAGGCAAACTGAAAAAAAAAAAAAAAAAAAAAGAGGCAAACTAATGTATAGTGACAAAAAGCAGACTAGTTATTGCCTGGAGTCAAGAGTAAAGAGAGAGATAAAATTTTGGGATGACGAAAAACTGTTCTGTATCTCTTTCATGATAATGATAAGTATTTAAATCTGTCAAAACTGAGGGGCCAAGGGAACCAGCAGTTAGTGTAATGGCTATGTTGCTGGACTCCCATGTAGTCGACCGTGGTTTGCATCCCGGACCCGGTGGCTTAAAACTCACACCGGGCGCATGTGCATGCGTGCCCAAGATCCCGAGAGGAGAATGGAGGAGAAAGGATTGTGGCATGACCATCCCCCCTGGGGAGTGATTTCTCGCTTTCTGTCTCTATGTCTCTCTCTGTCTGTCTGGCGAGCACACGCGCCCTATAGCAAAAATCTCTCAAAAAAAAAAAAAAAAACTGAGGGGCCAGCAGGTGGCATGGTGGTTAAGGTGCTGGACACTCCCACATGGTCAATAACATTTCAAGTTCTGGACTTAGTAGCTTGCTTTCTTACTTTCCCTTTCTCTCCTTCCCTCTTTTTCTTTCTTTCTCTCTCTCTCTCTCTGGTGAATACATGCGCCCTACAGCAAATTAAAAAATGGTAATAATAATAATAATAATAATAAATAAAATTTAGTAAATAATTATTTTTAAAAATAATAATACACCTGCCAAAACCCACCAAATTATAATTTTAAGAGGGAATATTTATTATAAATAAATTATACTTTGATAAAGCTGTCTAACAAATGGAGCTATAATCAATACTGTAGTATGGCCAAGAAACATTATTAAACCAGAAAAGCAAGGTACAGAACACTATGTACACCATTACCCCCTTTGTGTAAAAAGAGAAAAGGGAAATGGTGAAAGGAAAGAAATATACAGAAACACATGCTTGCTCAAGCACACCACAGATCTGCAGGAGACATAAGTTAACAGTAATAGTGATGATTTCTTGGGAAGAGAACCCGAGGACCAGTATCAGGCATGTGAGAGAAGCTTTTGGGTACTTCCACACTTGAATGTTTTATTATGTAGATACATAACTTGTCAAAAAATAAAAATTTAAGTTACATTCACCTGAAAATATAAAGTATATTTGGTACAATGACTAATCATCTTAGAAGATACTAAATTATAAAAGTATAAAGCTGCTAGGCCAATCGGTAGCATGGTGATTAAGTAGCTGGATCCCACATGGTCAGCTGTACAGTTCAAGTCCTGTACTTGGTAGCCTGAAAGACACATCAGGTGTGTGTGTGCCCAAAATCCTGAAGGAAAATGAAGGGGAAGGGACTGCAGCAGGGCCATCCTTCCTGTGGGAGTTCTTTCTCACTTTTCCTTTCTTTATCACCAGCAAGCAAATGTGTTCTCTAGTAAATTAATGTATTTTTCTTACCTTAGTGAAATCATTTATCAACTTTTTCTTTAAGTCGATTTGTGATGCTTCCAATGAACAATGCCTCTATCGACTTCTTGTGCTTGAGAATCTAAGAAAAAAAAAAAAAGATAATTCAGTACAATCTAGAAAGCACTGCATGATCTGAATGAGATACAGAGCCAAGCAGGGGCAGTAAGTAGGGTGATAGCTAAGGCGCTGGACTTCTACAAGGCTGACCACAGTCTGAGTCCCGGACCTGGTGACTTGAAAATCACACAAGGTGAGTGTGCAGCAGGCAAGCCCAAAATCTTGAGACGAGAATGGAGGAAAGGAAATTGGGCTGAGAAGTGCTCTCTCCTCTTTTTTTTTTTTCTTTTCTCTTCTATTTTTTGGAAAGGCTATAAAGAATTGGTACTGATAGGCAAGCCAGAGACACAGTGTTTAAGGTTGTTGGATCCCACACGGCCAACTGTGCTGGTGGCTTGAAAAACATGCTGGGCATGTGTAGTGCCCAAGATCCTCAAGGGAGACACGGAGAAGACTACAGCATGACTGTGACCCATAAGGAATACTTCCTCACTTTCTTTCTCTCTTTCTACCCACCAAGTGCATGCACCCTAGAGCAAAAAATAATTTTTAAACTGTGATGATTCTTCTTTAAACATTCAGTAGATTTTTTTTTTTTTTTTTTGGAGAGGGCACGTGCGCTCACCAGACAGACAGAGAGAGACAGAGAGACAGAAAGCAAGAAATCACCCCCCAGAGGGGATGATCACGCCACAATCCCTTCTCCTCCATTCTCCTCTCGGGATCCTGGACACGCACACACACACGACCGGTGTGAGTTTTAAGCCACCGGTCCGGGACACGAACCGCGGTCGACTACGTGGGAGTCCAGCGACATAGCCATTACGCTAACTGCTGCTTCCCTTCATTCAGTAGATTTCATCGGTGAAGCCATCTGAGCGTAGTCTTTTCTCTGCAAGTGGTACTTTTACTATTACTCCAATCTTTTTATTTGCTATAGGTCTATTCAGATTTTTTTTAATTTCCTCTTGAGTCATCTTCAGTAGTTTGCGACTTTCTAGGAATTTATCTATTGCATCTGTATGGCATGCAATTATTCATAGCATTCTCTACGATCCTTTTTATTACTGTTATTAATTTCCCCTTTCATTCCTTATTTTAGTCATTTGAGTTCTTTCTCCCTTTCATGTCTTATTTTAGAAATTTAAGTCCTCTCTTATTAAAATCAATACAAAAGCATGGGGGGGGTGGCATAGTGGCTAAGATACTGGACTCCCACATGGTCGACCATGGTTCGAATGGTGGTTAAGGCACTGGACTCCCACATGGTCAACCAAGGTTCGAGTCCCAGAGGCTTGCTTTCCTTTCGTACGCCTCCCCTGGAGGCTTGCTTCCCTACTTTCCCTTTCTCTCTGTATCTGTCTGGTAAAATTAAACACATGATAATGATGATAATAAATGAAATAAAATTAGAAAAAAAAAGGCACTTAGGGTAAGCTTTCATTTATAGGTACAATGCCTAGCAAAGCAGAGGTTTTTTTTTTTAACTGCTCTACTACAAACTGTCTAGGCTGTATACTAGTCCAAATTCCATTAAAAAAAAGCACAGCACCAATCTTAAGAAATAGTTATTTCCATCTTTCTAATCCTATGCTTTTCATTCTTGAGTAGCAAAATGTCTTTGAACCAACTATGTGGGATAGCTTTCAAAAATGGAAATTAAGCAACAACTCAAGGCCTTCTGATTATTTTTTACAAGTTTCTTCAGAAACAGAAAGGGGGTTCTTTTTTTTGAGAGAGGTTTTTTGCTATAAGATGCGTGCACTCGCCAGAAAGACAGAGAGAAAGAGAGAAACCACCCCCGAGGGGGGGGATGGTCATACTGCAATCCCTTCTCTTCCATTCTCCTCTTGGGATCCTGGGCACACATGCACACGCTCCTGGCTTGAGTTTAATCCACCGGGTCTCAAACTCAACCACGGTTGACTACATGGGAGTCCAGCAACATAGCCATTATGCCAACTGCTGGTCCCTAGAAACAGAAAGGGGGTTCTGTTAACCACAGAGACTTGTGTTTATAATCTATCGAGTGTTCACTTTAGCAGCACATACACTATCATCTATTTTGAGAACTTTATACATGACATTTATTAATAGAACACCCAATTACAACTTCTATATCCTTAAAGTAGGCAGAACACAGAGCAAGCAGTGCAATACACTTATAAAACAGTCTAAGAGACATCTAAGGTGCTCTTGAAAGTAGTAGAATTTTCACAGGAGTGAAAAAATATATCCGTATTCTCCACTATCAGCCTCCTTCTTGAATTTGTGCCAATTGTTCAATGTACTATAATCACTTCCACATTAGGCCACAAAAGACAAGAAATAAAGTAACAAGGACGGTAGCATTCATCCATTCATTGATCAAAATGCTCCTTTAATCATCAAAAGATTAAGGATGAACAAAAATATTAGCAAATTAAGGGTGGTAAAATAAAAATAAAGCTAGAATTTGAGGGGCCAGCATGTGGTATGGTGGTTAAAGGTGCTGGATTCTCACATGGCCTATCACAGTTCAAGTCCCAGATCTGACGGCTTACTTTTTCACTTTCTCTCTCTCTCTCTTGCTCACTCACTCTGTCCCTCTGGTCAAATTTTTAAAATAAATAAATAAAGTTAAATAAAATAATTCTTAAAAAAGCTAGATTTTGGGAGACCAACAGGTGGCATGGTGGTTAAGGTGCTGAACACTCCCACATGGCTGACCATGGTTCAAGTCCTGGACCTGGTAGCTTGCTTTCTCACTTTCTCTCTCTCTCTCTCTTTGTCTCTCTCTCTCTCTGGTCAAATTAAAAAATAAATGAATGAATAAATAAAATTAAATAAAATAATCTTTAAAAAAAAAAGCTAGATTTTGGTTAGTCTTGACTACATTAATGAAATTCTTCAACCTTATAAAAGGCATCTAACAGAAAACTTAAAGATTATTACATCATGAGCTTTCTCCCTAAGTTCAGGAACAAGACAAAGATATCCTCTTTTACCATTTATTTATTTATTTATTTATTTATCCATCCATCCATCCATTCATTTATAATTTGCTAGAAGGTATGTGTGCTTGATAGCAACAGAGTGACAGGGAAGTGAGAATGTCTTAATGTAGGTAGAACACAGAGCAGGCAGTGCATTACACCTATGAAACATTACACCCTCAAAGGTGGACAGTCATGTCACATTCCCTCCCCTCCTCTTCTTCTTTTAGGACTTTAGGCACACATGCACACACAATCAGAGTGCCTCTCAAGCCACAGGGTACAGGACTCAAATCACACAATTAGCCATGTGGGATCCAACTGCCTCAACCACCACACCACCAGCTGTCCCATCTCCACTTCTTTTCAACACTCTACTGGAGGTCCTAGCTAATACAGTAAGGCAAGACAGAAAAATAAGAGGCATACTCATGTTAACAAGAAGAAACATTTATTTACAGATGACATGATAATTCAAGTGGAAAATGCTAAGGAATATACAAAAAAAAAAGACTGCTAGAGGGCTAGCCCCATGGCCTAGTGGTTAAGGTAGCCAGATGCCACCTAGCTAACCTGGTGGTTTGAATCCCAGATGCAACAGTTTGAAAAACACTGATATGCATGCCTGTCCAAAATCACAGGATGTTGAAAGGGCAGAGACTGCAGCATGACCACACCCCATTGAGGAGTACTTTCTCCCCCTCTCTCTCTCAAGTGCATAGGCTCTCTAGCAAGTGCATGGGTCCTCTAACAAATTTAAAATTTTTTAAAAGACTACTAAAACAAATACAGAAATTTTGCAGGGTCATAGAATAAATGCCAGTATATAAATATCAACTAATTTCTATAGCCTATCAAGAAAAAAATTGCAAAATTTAACTTAAAACAAAAAAACAGTCCAGTTGTGGTGGCATACACAGTAGGGCACTGCTGCACAATTAACAGAGCTGTATGAGCAGGCCTATGGTTCAGATTCCAGATAGATCTGAACACTCTGAGCTGGCTAGAAGGCTGAGGGGAAGCGTGTGGCATGGCAAGATCCTACCTAGTGTATCAGTCTGTATATGTATGCATCTCTCTCTCACTTCCTCCCTCCCTCTCATGAAAGAGACTTAAAACCAAAAACCCACCACAGGGTCCTGTCAGTAACATAGGGGTTAAAGCTCTATATTCTGTGAGACCAATCCACATTGGAGAGCTCCAAGTTTGCATCCAGAGACCTCTCTGAATACTCTTGGCATGTGAATACAATGATCTAGAGCCCACTAGAGCTGGAAGTTGATCAGGGCATTGGACCCTGTTGGGGATGCTTTCTCTCTCTTGCTCACTTATGGAAGAAATAAATAACATAAAAAAATTAACAGACCCTTTTATATACAACCCTAAAAGTATTTGACCTAATCTACTGTTTTTATTTTTTGCTAAAGGGCAGAGGGACAGAGAAGGAGACAGAAAGAGAGGGAAAGTGAGAAAGCAAGCCACCAGGTATGGGATTCAAACCTCAGTGGGCCATGTGGGAGTCTAATACCCTTAACTACCATGCCATTTGTGAGCCCCAATTCTAATATAATTTACTAAAGGGTCTCCCTCCTCCTATCCTTTGCAATCTACTAGAAAAGCCTTTTCATTTCTATAAATACTTTTAATTCATGGGGCTGGCAGGTGGTGTGGTGGGTAAGGGTGCTGGATTCCCACATGGCCAACTGTGGTTCAAGTACCGGACCTAGGAGCCTTGCTTTCTCACTTTCCCTCTCTCTCTCTCTCTCTCTCTCTCTCTCTCTCTCTCACACACACACACATACACACACACACACACACACACACACACATTCTGTCCCTCTCTGGTCAAATTTTAATTAATTAATTCTTTTTTAAAAATTGCTAATTCAGAATGCTAGCTAGTCAGCTGGTCTCTTCTGAGACAGTGGAATAAAATAAATTCTGGACAATACTTAGCTTGAACATGATACAAAACAAAGACTACAAAGTCTACCAAAAGCATCAGGCCTCTGACAACGTTCAAGTTGCACAGATCCACTCCCACCAA